TACACCTAACCCCAGCATCTGAACATGGGAGCTTCTCCTCTCAGCCAGATGGGACACAGGTGCCTTGGCCCTAAGGACGCTTCTCCCTCTTCATGCCACACAGGTCTGTCTGCGGTGGCTGCAGCACCTCGGTGTGGTCCTGTGCTCTGCAGCTGGCTAGGTAGAAAGGTCCGCTTCATCTCTTCAGGGAACTAGATCTCAGTGCTGTGGTGCAGTCAGGCAGCCATGGTGGAGGACATGGCAGGAGGACCTGGTGTCTGTTCCCAGCCCCATTCAGAAGGTTAACAAGGAGCCTGAGTGGAGGAAGGAAAGCTGAGACTGGGAAAGCACCCGATTTCTGCTGTGAAGATGCTTGCCTCCAGGAAAGGAAAGCAAGACTTTTGAATCTGGTGTCTGGAAAAGCGGTTGCTCCTTCTCACTTAGAGTCATTTTCCGATGACCAGAAATCATCGGTCAGCCATCTTTGCATGTCCCATGCCGAGTGGCGATTAGTAGCCTTGCTAGAATAATGCCATAGGCCAGCAGTTCCAGAAAGATGCCTTCGGGACTGTCTTTCACTCCAGGCCTACCTGTGTCCTGCTGGGCCTAGCCTTTCTGGAGCCCACTCTGGTGCGGCCCCTTGCCACCAGCCCAGATGTGTGTGCCATGGCCTCTGCCTTTGCCCCACCAGCCCTGTCTGGCCCCTGACTCAGCACTGATGAGCTTCCTGAACAGGGCTAGCTGCTTTGCCCGTCCACTTCAGCTTCTGCAGCCAGAGCCCAGGAAATGCTTCCAGACATTACTGTAGCTTTCCTCATCTCTGTACTTTAAAAATACCCACTGCACCTCAGTAGCTGCAGAATCACGTGAACACACTTGGCGCCGCTGAACTTTCAACTGTGTTGGCAAAACCAGTCCTGGTTGTGAAATGAAACTGTAAAAATGATATGGTGAGAAACTGGTGCTGGGGAGAGGATCAGTTCCCCTCCCCTCCCCTTTCAGCCTTTCTCCAGGAATCCTATTTAACCATGGGTCCCTACCTTTTGAAGTGTAAATAAACACTTGGGATTCTGACTACTCCCTCTTGAAATGTAACAGATGCCTGTGAAAAGAGCCCTTTCTTCTTCTTATCTGTTTCTGTGCAAGTGCCTTATGTTAGAGACCCTGCACAAGGCCACATAGATTAGGAATTTTTTTTTTAAAGGAAAAAGCCCCAATAATAGGATGGGTCTAAGATGATGCCAAATAACCTATAAACGTTTATGTGTTGTGAGAAACTGTGGATCAGGACTCAGAATTTAGTTTTGTTTTCCTCTGGGCCAGCTGGTGTATAATAAAGTTTGGAGTTCTCCTCTCCGAGTGCGGCTTGCTGCTTCTTTTTTTTTTAAGAAAGAGAGAGGGAGAGAGAGAGAGAGAGAGAATTTTAATATTTATTTTTTAGTTTTCGGCGGACACAACATCTTTGTTTGTATGTGGTGCTGAGGATCGAACCCGGGCCGCACGCACGCCAGGCAAGCGCGCTACCGCTTGAGCCACATCCCCAGCCCCAGCTTGCTGTTTCTTGACCAGTCTGTTTCCTGCAACAAAACTGCACATAGGGGCTGGGGCTGGGGCTCAACGGTAGAGCACTCTCCTAGCATGTGTGAGGCACTGGGTTCGATCCTTAGCACCACATAAAAATAAAAACAAATAAAAATAAAAGTATTGTGTCCAACAACAACATATATATATCCATCCTGCATGTAAAGGAGTGGACATGGGGCTAGGGGTGCAGCTCAGTGCTGGAGTGCTTACCCTGCGGGCGCGAGACCCCAAGTTCCACCTCAGCACTGGGGAAAAAATTAAATAATTAATGGCAAATTTTACATCACATGTAATTCAGTACATTCCTCCAGAAAGCACAGTTTTTCTCAGAAGGTTTGTATTGTGTCTGCTGTCGTGCACACTGGTGTCCGATTGGTACCTGGGGTTTGTGTTCCTGCAGTAGCCAGGTTACTGATGGCACTTCCAGTCTGTAGTACCTTCAGTGTAAGAAATCTGCAGTGCCACAGGCGAGGGTTACTGGCAGGAAAGCAAGGGCACATGTGCGCCCTTTTGCTAGCTGGGCACCTGGGAGCCAATGCAGCTTCGTTTGTGTGACGGAAGGGTGCCGGGTGTGCTCTTTGGAGTCTTGGAGTCCCAGGTACTTGCGTGGGCTCTAGAGGGTCCAGATGGTAACATGACACAGAGGAGCCCTAAAGCCAGCAGCAGCATGGTGGCACTCTGGTGCTCGTGCTGACCAACCTGTTAGACACTTGTATTATTTCTTGCGGCCTCCACATTTCCTCATTGCTGAAGATCTTTCAAATGGAGATAAAATGTAACCTCATGAGGATGCTGGGAAAAACCAGTGAGATACTCTGTGTGAAAAGTATTTGAGAAATATTAGGAACTGTGGAACTAGAGGGACTTATTAGTTGTTAATAATTTAAGGAGCAGAAGTGTTCTTTACAACTCAGGAAACAAATGTGTGGCCATCGTGATTAAAAACCCTGCCTCCCCAACCTGTTGCACCCTCCTTAGTATTTACCATCCTTGCGGATGCTCAGTTCCTGTCCTTCTTAGAGGTCTGCTGCTATCCAAAAAAGGAATGTCATCATGTCCTGTGGTTTTTATGCTGTAAGCCCAAGAACTCACTTGAAGAACAAGCTCCTTCAAAGCTCCGGAAGCTGAATGAGCAGCATTCTGTAACACGATTCTCTGGACCCTGTTGCTGAACCATGTGGTAAATAAGTCAGTCTGTATTGGAAAGAGCCACTTTCTTGCACTAAACTTCATTTTACAGGTTTGAGATGGCTGGGTTACTGGGGCACCACGCACATAGCTCTTCACTGTGCCCAGCCCTGTCGGGCGCCATCTGGGTGTGTGTTATGTCTTGTTATGTTCAGACACTGTATTTCAGGCCAACTAGCGATAATGCAGTGCTCTCTTCAGGAACTAGTGCAGTCTTCCCGTGTCTTCTTGGTTTGCCTCTACCCTGTGGCCTGTCCCCAGCTGGACACCGTGGCAGTGCTGGGGAGGCATCAGGGTCACCTGGAACCCCCTCGCCCCCGGACCTTGGTGCACCCAGGTTCTCAGACTCACCGTGGCTCGCTGCCATGCCTCCCGAGCTGGAGACTTTCTTGGATGAAGCAGTTCTGACATTGTGTTCTGTGGGGGCCACACTGAGTGACCATGCCTTCCAGTCCTGATGCACCAGGGATCTGAAAGATCACTGCAGTCTGGCGCGGTAGTGCCATTAGTGCCGTGACTGGGGACTCGGTCTTCTCCCCCACTCGGACAGCAAGGCCAGTTGTCTGAGTAGGCACACCCCGGGGTAGAGCTACACTCACCTGTTCTTTCGTAATCCTACCCCTTTGCCCTGTTTGGGATAGAATGTTCCATGGAAACTCCCTTTGTGTGTCCCCTTCTCTTGCTCTGCCCTTGGGTGTGGCCTTCCTAGATGTCAGTCAACCTGCTGACAGCAGACATCAGGAAGCTAGACTCAGCCCCCCCAAACCTGACCCTTTGCCTCATTTGAATGGCTTCTCCCCAATAAAAGGGGTCATCACGTGCTCGCTCGCGCGCGCTCTCTCTCTCTCTTTCTCTCTCTTTTTCTCTTTCCACAGTCCCCTAAGATCAGAGGAGTCGTCACAGGACCCGAAGAAAAAGGTATCTCTGTCTCTTGTGTGATTATTTCGTGAGCCCAGTTCACCTGGTGTGACCCTGAGTGTTTTGGTTGTGGAACTTGACAGCTCTCTTCACAGTTATTCTCAGGAGCAGAGTAACATCTGCCCAGTCCCTCGTGCATCATGCTTAATAAATATTATTGGCCAAAACACCATGAATTCTCGTGAACTTCGTTATTTCTGAAATGACATTAAAAACTTGGTGGATTCAGATGTTGTCACAAGCATGCACTGTATGAGGCCGAGGAAGGGGAATGTGTGTGGCGCCGGGCTCACGTGAGGGCCGCTGCTTTTCTGGTGGCGGCGTGCTCTCGCTGGCCTCAGCAGTGTGGAGGACATCTGCCTGTCAGTTCTGTCCTGTTTTAAAAACATTTGAATGTGCTGCATTACTTTAAAGATTCACACACTTGATTAGATTTTAAGTCAACAGTGAGATTTTGTGGCATTCTTAGAGTGTGCATCAGTTAGCCCTATATAGCCTTTTCTCTGGGAATCAAGGTGTGGTGCAGCCTCTCCTGGGCCTTTGCCACTCTAAATCCTGTCCAGGTAAATATCAAGCTGGTGCTACTATCCTTCTTTGAAGGGACATTAACATTTTTTAATTTAAAAACCCAATACCTTTCTCCCTGGTTACAAAATCATGCCTGTTGTAGAATATTTAAGAAATGGGTGGAAATAGGAAAGCTGTACTCTTGATACAGCCCCCTGCCGTGCAGGCATGGAGTGCACCTGCACCTGTCGTTCAGTCTCTTGGCCGGGAGGCCGCAGGCGTGGCCTTGACTTCTGCTCTTGGTGTTGATATCATATGCTCTCAACAACTTCCTGCGCCAGTCACCACACCAAAATAAGGTTGCAGTGGATGACTGGTGGAATGTTTAAAGTAAGTAGGACACCAGAACAGACCTGGCAAAGTGTGCGTGGACACTGAAGTGATAATGGAATCGAAAGGGACCTGGGATACCAAGCCTGGGGTGAAGAGCGCTGCCTCGCATGCACAGGCCCTGGGTCCCTTCCACGCCTAGTTCCAGAGGGAAGAAAGAACGAACAAAGGAAAAGCACAGCCACAAAGGAAGAAGGATTTAGCAGGGCAGAATGATGTTCTGCCACCGGAAGGTCCTGGGGAGTGATGTGGACACTTCCCGGCCCTGCCTTCATTCTCCAGGAGAGAGCTCAACCTTAATGCCTCCTCAGATGGACTTGGAGTAAAAACCCAAAACTTAAGTCCTTAGTGATCCACTCTTCCTCTTCATCCCACGCCCACCTTCCCCAAAGTGTGTCAGCTAAGCCGCTCTCTTTTCCTTGTGTTCCCCATAGGTAGCTGCAATTAACCCAAACCACCCGCTTGCCCAGATGCCTTTGCCCCCGTCAATGAAAAACTGCATTCAGCTGGCAGCCTGTGAGGCCAACGAGCTTCTGCCCATGATCCCCGACCTTCCTGCGGACCTGTTCACATCCTGCCTCACCACTCCCATCAAGATCGCTCTGCGCTGGTAAGAGCCTGCTGGGGCCGGGTCCCAAGTCACAGGGTCTGAGGCTGCAGCCCAGGTCTCCCGATACACAATACAGCAGGAGCATGCTAGTCAACCTTGACTCACAGGACTCCAGGCAGATGCTTGTGAGTGGAAGGTGCTTCTCCCTCTGGATCAGGTCACATGCATCTGGCTCCTTTGCAATTTCTAAGAACAAACTTGTGCACCTCTTTTAAAGTGTAGAAGTGCTGTTGCCATCAGATCGGTAGTTCTGGTAACCAGCTTGCGTTTGGGGAGAAAAGGCTATTATGAAAAAGAATTCATTTCATTTCTTGTCCAAGTATAATCTCCAGTATTCTCATCAGTAAAGAAGAAGGCCACAGCCTGTTTCCCACCACAATTCTTAGAGTCCAGAACCCTGGGGAATATTCTGGGAATTACCCAGATGGGTGAGCTTGCCCTTGAGACCCATGTCTCTGGCAGTGCTTACGGCGGGCTGTGTGTGTGCTGCTGACAATCCAACTTCCTGCCCAGGCCATCCTGCCCTCTTCTGCTGTGGGGGTGGTGTGGGGTGGAACCCAGGGCCTCATACATGCTGGGCCAGGGCCTGACCACTGAGCCGCACTCCCAGCCCTTTTTTTCATTTTGCTTTGAGACAAAGTCTTGCCCAGTCTGGCCTAAAACTTGTGGTCCTTGTGCCTCTGTGCCTTTCTTTAACAAATCCTTCCTGTTTTGATGAAAAGCTTGCATGCAGCCACTGTCCCCCAGCCAGTAGATAAACATTTCCTAGTGCTCGGGCGGGAGCTGTGCAGCCGCACGCGGCACACACTGTAGCATTGTGGGGGTACTTTCTTGGGGTTTCTGCCCAGTCAGCGTTGCAACCCAAACTCCGTTTTCTGGTCTCTTACCCAGACTCTAGAGAAGCTACTGAGAAGTGTGGGTCTTGGGGGCTAATGATGACAACAAAGTGATCAGCCCTCCGGAGACCCCTCAGGGTGCCACAGCCTGGGGCAGGGGTGACCTGAGCTTGTTGAGGTGCTATGTTGGAGGAAAATGGCCTCCTGCTTTGCCTCTGCAGCAAAGTCCAGGTCAACCCCAACCCTGGGATGAGGGGTCAAGAGAGTGGGGCTGGCTGGACGGCAGCCCCCAGCCATTCAGTTTCCCTCCCACTCTCTCCCAACTCCCAGGACTTGGAATTACCAGGGAAGGGCCTCCTTCTAGGGCTACTTCTCTCTGAGAAGTTAGGAGGAGGAGAGGGCCTGCCTGGACGGGCTGCAGAGAGGGCACTGGTGTGTCTCTGCCCCCTGTGCTTCCCCCTCCACATTGCCAACAATGACGGGGCCTGGCCAGGGCCATTGTCTTCTGAACCCAACACACAGCCTTATGTGGCCAAGCCAGACACGCAAGGAGCACAACCACAATTCGGACAGAAATGGACCAGAGGACTATGTGAGCAGAACCATTGTCCAGTGGGAATGTACCGAGTGGAGGAGAAAAGGGAGGTTACTAGTAACAAGAAGTAAGAGCAGGGGACAGGAATGTAGAGAGGACCAAGTAGAAACAGAGGTTCTGCAGCCTTTGAAATGAAGAGCACGGCAGCCGGGTCTGCAGAGGCCCTCACCAGGGAGCACAAGGAGAGGGGCCAGGACGCGGGAGGGAGGTGGGCGCCGTCACACAGAAGAGCATCTGCACTGGGAGCAGAATGTGGCAGAGGAGAAAGTGCCGGGGCACAAAGATGCCTCACCCAGAACTGGGAAAGGGGCTCCAGCCAAACAAGAGGAGACGGAAGACACTCGTAGGAAGAAGGTGCATGGGGACGCCACCCTTCTGCCTCACTCTCGGGCCCCTTTTCCCTTCCAAGGGTATCTGCCTTCTTTAGGCTGTAAGGACAGTGTTCTTTCCCCGTCTGCACTGTGTGAACTATGCCCCCAGGAAGAGCTGCTGTCCCTGTGACCCAGGAGCTCATGCAGTGAGTCACTGCCCAGTTCTAGCTGGGTGCCGAGTGCCCACACTGAGCTCCACAGGGCACACAGAGACTTGTCTCAGCCCTCATCTTCCAGCTGAAGTTAAAATGTGGCCCTAAAGCAAAAATGCACTTTTTGAATGGGCATTTTTATTTTCTTTCTCTTTTAATAGTAGGGATTGAGTCCCAGTGTACTTTACCACTGAGCTACATCCTAGCATTTTCTTCTATTTTTAATTTTTGAGACAGCGTCCAAATTGCCCAGGCTAGCCTCGTACTTGCAGTCCTCCTTCCTTCAGCCTTCTGAGTGCTAGGATTGCAGGCAGGCTCCGGCTCACCTGGGCTTCAGTGGGCATTTTGTGCAAGGCAGAGAAACCCTGAGCTTCTCAAGGCAGTGCATGACCCAACATAAGCCAGGGCCTGTTGTTTTCCCAGAGTTCAGGGACATCACTAGGGCTGTGGGATCCAAGAGGTCTCCTTGCATGAGCTGAAAGTGGAATCTGAGCATTACTGACAGCACAAGTTTGGAGGAAGCAAAGGTAGCTCCCAGACAGATGTGCCTAGTGCAGGCAGCATCCCAAAGGAGTGAGAAGGGCAGCCCCTCTGGATAGGGAGGATTCAGAGGAGATGGGTGACTTCAGAGGGTGGGCCTGGGGCGACTGCGGAGGCGTTGAATGTTCTCATTTCCTGCAGCTCTGCGGGAGAGCCCCTGAGCTGTTCACATGAGTAGATATCTTGAGAATCATGCTTGTGAAGGTGAGCCAGGTGACCACAGGAGCCCTGGGACCTCACTGGCTGAAACCATACCAGACCTCACGGGCACATTCTAGAGAAACAATAAAATGAAAGGTAAAAGAGGCAGTGCAACTGGAAGGCAGGAGCTTCTGCAGGAGCACAAGGATCCACTGGGGAGCAGGCCCCTGGCCACTCATCTCCCGCCTCTCCTCATGGACTCCTTGCCGTTACTGCTGAGTGCACGCCAGCTCCAAAATAGACCCTGTGCTGCAGCTTCGCTCTCGGTTGCCAACCCAGGGTTCACTGGGGGTCGGGGATTCCCAGATCAAGGCAGCTGAATGGACGTGCAGGGAGGAGGGAGAAAGGAAAACAACACCAGTGGAGGCTGGAACGGCCTCCGCGCCTGCCCTCGCCTGCTCTGCCACGCCACTCCCAGATCCTGTGGCCAGACACAGGCCATTTCATGGAGTTGGTGAGCTCCTCCCTGGCACTGTGTTCTTGCACTCTGAGTTAGCAAGCACAGGCCTCCACTCGTGAGTGGCCAGGTACTCCAGAGAGTTACTTCCGCTTGGAGGCCAGCCTCCTGGCTCCAGGGCAGGCCCTTGCCCTCCCCAGGGATGTGCTTCTGTCTGCCAAGACATGATGCATTACATCCATAGCTGCTTGAAATTCTTTTTGGAGTGAGGATATGATTAAATTTCTTTAAAATACACATTTAGTATGACATGCAGTGAAAGACAAATCAAGTTAATACAGTTACCATAAGGCAGACTTTGGATCCGATAAGCCACAGCTGCAGACAGTTGTCTTCAGATAGCCACTGCCTAAAAGAATCAAGCAGTGTCTTGGGTGGGCAATTCTTTTACCATGAACCACGCTTTGCTATACCAAGGTGCTGAAGTCAGATTAAAGAGAACATGTTGCTAGGCCCTTAGGCTCAAGATGGTAGAAGGGGCACTGTGCACTTCTTTGCAAGAGATGAATTTTAAAACTTTTTTCTTATAAATGAAGAAGGGAATATAGTTTGTCAGACAGTACTTATTCATGTTGTCAGAGTTAAGGGCTTTATTTTTTTCATTTGAAAGTCTACTTAAGCCAGGCACACTCATGCACACTTGTAATCCCAGTGACTTGGGAGTCTGAGGCAGGAGGATGGTAAGTTCCAGGCCAGCCTCAGCAACTCACTGAGACCCTGGCTCTAAATAAAATAAAAAGGCCTGGGAATGTAGCTTAGTTGTAGGGTGCTCCTGGGTTCAGTTCCCAGTACCCACCCCACAAAAAGTCAGTAATTTCTAATTTAAATGGATCATATATTCTTTGCAGAAAATGTACTGAAAAGTAAAGATAATCCAAGATTTTACCTTGAAAGGTCAGCAAGGGCTAACTTTTCAGTGGCCTGCTTCTCAAGCTCTTCTCTGTGTGTGCTTTTGGATGTTGGTGTTCGTAGGCTGTCACCGTCTCACAGGCAGAAGCCCCAGCGTCCTCAGGTCATGACCACTGGAAGTGTCCTAGACCGCTGGAAGCACTTGGCGAGTGTCACACTCCCACTTAAGCTGTGTCAGTGCCCTGTGCTCTGCTTAACCAATGCCTGGGCTTTAGGATTTAGGATCCCCCAACATAAAGGCTGGAGAGCTCAGGGTAGCTCTCAGATTGGGTCAGCAGGCTTTCTCTGTGGCGCTTCAGATCGTCAATGATTTTTTTCATTTAGGCTTTTTGGGTCAAAAGCTGCAACACTGTAGTTGTGGTAAGAAAGCTGAGGACATAGTGCCAAGCCAGTGAGCACAGCTGTGTTTCAGTACAGCTTTATTTACAAGAACAAGCTGCCGTGAGCAGCCGGGGCCATCAGCACAGACCAGACACACTCTGTCTTTCCACAGCAGCAGCAATTTCACACACCACGTCACTCTCAGCAGTTGCAGTTCATGGAGTGCCCGTGGTCATTGGCAGTCATCGGCTGGACCAACACAGTTTCCTTTGTTCCAGTCTTAATTTCTGGAATCTGTAACACCCAAGTCACACATTATGCTTTATACAGTGAGATGTGTGGATTTCCAAAATGTGGTCACGGGGTCTTAGGAGGCTGCTCTGAGAGCAAAGGCAGGGAGCAGATACAAAATCAAGTCACTGCAGATGGTCAGATGAGATTATGAACCAGCCCAAAAACTTGCTCAGAGCTCAGAACTCACCCTAGGCTAGGGTCCAGATGACAGGCAGTTCAGAAGTAGACCACATGTGAAGCAGGGAGCTGAAGCTGGGTTGAAGCCTGGGGTTAGGGTTAGGGCAGAGGGCTGTAGGTCCATCACTGGTCCATCTCCTGATGGGT